ACCATGCAGCTGCAGCTGAACACCACAGTTGATCTCTACTGTTGAAAAAATGCTGGACTGGGATGAGTGTGTGGAGAAGCTGCACATTTTATTATTGGATTAGTGTGTGCCGGCTGTAATCTACAAAGCCTATAAGGGGGAATGAAGAACAACATAAACTGATTCCTATGTGCTTTCTCAAGATCCTTGGAAATGCCTGAAAAACTGAGTTCTTTCTTTGGGTGAAAAGGTGTGTTTATACAGTTTCTGCAATACCAGTAGTCTAACTGGGAGACATGGAGGACAATTTACAATGTTTTCTTTGGTGTAGGGATGTTTCAGATGTGGATAGAACACATGCAGACACGAAGCCATAGTTGCAGATTCCGGTTTAGGAAATGCACTGTAAAATGTAATAGTATATCTTACTCTAAAATAAAAGTCATCTTAACTCATTCCAGCTTACTCTGTTGACTATACTAACTTAAACTTAGCAAAGACAACTTTCTACTGAGGCAAGTAATCAAACTCATCAGCACCAAGTAACCCGTAATTTGGAGTTATGAGTGAGCAAGACGCAACTGCAAAACCAGCAGAAAACTCGGCATCATTCGGCAGCTCTCGTTGAACGCACATGCGCAGTTGGCCACTGAAGACTGACGACGTGTTTGAAAGAAGCGCCGAACTGTCAACAATACGGCGATTCCTGCAGCCAAGTTTGTCATGGTAAGTTCCACTGGTTTTTAGCAAACTTATATTCATTATCTCGGCCGTATAATTCATCCGTAAGTCCAGGTTTTGAGGTTAACTTCATGTGTAATGATTTAGCGATGATTTTCCTGGGACTAACGTCAATCGAAAATATCATGTTTATTTAGTAGCAACAAGATGGAGCGGCAGAGAAAAAAGCTGTCCGGGGTGCAAAACAAAAAAAAGGAAAAGGGATAAAGATAAAGATGTTGGCCGGATTAAAAAAAAAGCATTTCGGTGTGGTTTCAAAAAGCCGAAAGGCTTTTTTATTTCTTTCCTATCAAGTTCACTATACGTGGTAGTCTAATATTTAAAAAAAAAGAACAAAAGCAGTGGTCTTTTATGGGCGCGTGCCCAACAGAGATAGCAAAATATAAGTGAATCAACGTTGAAATATCTCTTGTCTCTAGTTAACTTACAGAATTAATTTCAGTGTCCTGCTAGTGAAAAGTAGTCATGAGAGGTCCAACATCTCTATATGTTAAATATTAATTTGTCATACGTTTCTTTCAGATTCTGACAGGGTTCTGTCGCTTGTGGAGCAAAAACCTGGATTCAGAACTTTTCACAGAACTTGACAAATACACCCCTCACTTCTTTGAGATTTTCAAGGGCAAAGGGGGAAGTGTTGGCCAGAAACTTCAGATGTATCTGCAACAAGTCAGACCCGAGGTGAGTTTCTCAGATACAAAGTCAATATTTTATTATCATGTTGGGAACACAATACACAACCCCACTGTGTATGCAGAGCTGTTACTTGATTCTTCTTTACCACAGGAGTGATGTGTGTTTGATATGATTTTTCAGAGTACAGATAATACTGCGAAGCGATCGGCAGTGCTCCGGCCTTCCTGTGATCCTTGGAGATGAGAACACAGACTTCAAGACATGCTTTGGAGGTCATCTTTATTAGATTTTTATAATTCCACACCGCAGTATGTCCCACTTAATTCTGCTCCTTTTGTGACTTTGATAGCTTTAGTTTTAATTACTGTTCTTTCACTCGGCCTGAATCAGTGCTACTGTACTTCTTACATGAGGCACTGATGAATCCCCAATCAGAAAACTTCTAGTGGTTCTCTGCTGTCTTTCCAAAGTTTTCAGTGGCAGTTCTCTAGCGTCACAAAATTAACCCAAATGTCATCAAGAACAAAAACAGTACAATGAATTTCACTTTGCTGATGAAATGCAACATGTAAAAATGTTGTGAACTTTCCCTTCCAACATCATCAACACTTATTATCACTGACACTCTTGGGAAATGCGCTCGCTGTACTGTCATAGAAGGCTGATGATGAGTGGACTGCCATAGGCGGGACAGCTGTAAAGTGTTACGTTGTTATGTAATTGTGGTGTTGCTTCTATTGTTAGGACTGTGAGGACCCAGACATGTCTCAATCACTCAAAAATCTTCTGATGCAATGAGTGAATGTGATGTGACATTATGGCAATCGGTTTCCTAACTTTTTTCCTAACCTTTACCCTTATTGGAAAAGTGATTTTTATTTCTTGTTTGATTCTTTTTGAATCGTTTTGAAGACTGAGGGCCATTTGAAGGATTCAGTATTAGATTGAAGGCTGCCCTAGTAAAAAGTTTATGGAAAACTTTGTTTCCAGGTTAGTGTGTCTGTAACCACACTTGAGAACTCTGTATTTAAGATAAACTTGTTTAATTATTAAACTTTTTTTCCATTCAAACTGATGTCTGTTGGCTCTTCGTTTCAATAACTTAACACTTTTGGTTCTTCTTACTTGAACATATCAAGGCAATTGGTTTCCTGATATTTTGCAAGTAATGTGAACGCTTTAACGTGTAAGCATAACTTATTTTTTTGAGTACTGCTTAACTGACATAACTCACACATTGAAGTAGTCATAATTTACATTTTATAGTCAACCTTACTAATGATTTTGAGTTACCTATATTCAAGTTTACTGCCATTACATGAGTTGTCTGAATGAACATTTTACAGTTAACCCAATTAATGATTTTGAGTTATCAGCACTCAGGTTTACTGCCATTATCTGAGTGGTCTAAACATAGTTATTTGTAGTTATAACACCTTAAAATGAATTAGCTACTTGGAAATTTTGAGGCAATCGGTTTCATAACTTTTTTAACGTAAAGTGAACTCATTACATTTTACAGTGTGGCTGAAGGTGATTCCGCCTAAATGTTTACTTCCTTCAGCAACTTTCGTCTTCTCTTGTTATAAAATTACACCATAGGCTACTGCTGAAACATAGACAATTCTCAACTAAAAACAAAATATTTAAAACCAAGTGTGGGATTTGTGAAACCTTTATTTTATTTATTAAAATAAAGGAAATAAGAGCAATTTCAGCACTTTTTTGCAACGACCACAAGAGAACTGAGCTCCACCTTCTCTAAATGTGCTCTATGTTGCTGTTTTCCCACTTTTATCTTTCTGTTTTTTTCTTTTTTTTAATCTTCAGTGTGTTGTTTTTATCTCTGGTATCTTCCTTAAGGGGTACATCCTGGGGTAGGCTACATCAGTAACGCCTTTCTCAGTCGGACCACTTTTTTCAGTAACCAGTAATCTAACGTGTTGCTATTTCAAATCCAGTAGTCAGACTGCCGTTACTTATCAATATCACTTTGCGATACTGTGCGTTACTTTTGTGATGTAATTTCATTTCCTATGTGTCTTCCGGAGTAACCAAGAAGAATCGCCTGCGCCTTCGTGGACGGAGGAGCCGGAGTTTCACCGATGGAGGTCCCGGTCTTGTGCGAAATTCGGTTCCCCTGTGAAAATCTGTTCCCCCTGCGTCGGGAGCGCACATTACAGCCAGAGAGGCGAAAGAGACGGATCTGATCATTTTCACGTCGCTTCTGATCGATTTCTCGGTAAAACCAACTAATACAACCATGTCAATGTTGTAACACTCAGTTTAACTTGCTGCTGTTGTTTAAAAAAATTGTAAAATAAATAAATAAACGAGGTCTTCTGACGCTGTTTTGTGTTATTGTAAACACCAAGAGAATCGCTCTTTTCTCACGTAAGCCTGGCAGAAAAAAGTCAGTCACCAAACACAGTTTTCCCAACACGTGGTGTGTATGTAAAGGTTTTTGTGAATTTGGAAACAGTTGTTCTTTATTCCCCAAGGTTATGGAGTAAGGAGAGGAAATAATGGATGATTCAGCAGCCTGAAATAATCTGTTCCCCCTCCATAAAATGGGAACAAATTATTTTACCTGCAAATGCTTAATTTTGCCTATTCTTCTCATCATCAACAATACTGTGAATTTGGTAGAATTTGCTCCTTGTTTGCCAGAGATATGAGGGGGGAACCATATATTTCAGCTTGCTAAAATATTCCGTTCCCCCTCCATAAAATGGGAACAACTGCACTTACCAGCAAGATTTTTTCTCTGCTTATTCCTCTCATCATCAACAATAAATACTGTGATTTTGGTAGCATTTGCTCCTACTTTGCCAGAGTTATGAGGGGGGAACCATATATTTTAGTTGTTTTACCTGACTGAAATTATCCGTTCCCCCTCAAAAACATGGAAACAAATTTATTTATCAACAGTAATCATCAACAGCAAACTGGCTGTTGGCAAACAGCAAGTTTGAAAACATTTCATCACTATTTGCTCCATCACCATCTCCACCTGCTGCAGCACCTCCCCGTGCTCCAGTCCCTCCACCGACTCCATCCCCGCCTCCTGCTCCATCACCGTCTTCCTCTGCTCTGCCATTGACTCCTGTCCAGTCAGCTACCCAGAAAAAAACTCAAGCTGAGAAATGTAAATTTGATTTCCAATTCTTATAAATATATATCAATGCACATGCATTTCAGTTTTTGTTATCATACATATATGTCTCACAAAGACTTTATGTCTTTGTACTGATATGCTTTCATCTTATTTTAATAAAATGAATAATTTCAGTATCATTTTGTTTTAATAATATATATAATATATATTTGTATTTTGTATTTTATTTGTATTTAAATAAGTACATGTTTCTAAAAGATACAAGTCCTGTTTGGACGGCACAGGTAAATTGTCGTTTTAGCCCTGGAAGAAGCTTACGATGTTGACGGATGTGAAAAGTTTCACCTTCAAGTTAAAATATTGCAAATTGAATTCAGATTGCTCTGATCTTTAATTTAACATGAGAGATGGAGCTACTAATATTTAAAAACACATACTAAGCCAAACAGGATTAGAACAATAAACTACAAAGAAGATGTTTCGGTTTTTTGGAAACCCATCAGTGGTTATAGTTTGAAAGATGACACCCGGATGTTGTATGCGTTAACTTCACACTAACTAGCTTCTGACATCGTTCGAACAGAACAGTGAAAATATTCAGGTGAGTGTTTTTAGGACTGTTTATTGGAGTGTTTGATATTGTGGCATGCAGACTTTACGCTGCTCGAACGCACTGAACGAAGGTCTGCAAAGAGGGTTGAAGCGCAGTGATTGTTTTCACTTGTTCAACATTTTGAAGTTAGTTCGCCAACAAGGCTAACGACAGTTAGCTTTAAGCTAACATTTAGCTCGCTAGCAGTGGCTACGTAACACCGTATAACGTTCATGTTTTTACGGTTTGGGGGTTTGATCTCGACAGCTGTACTCTTTGCTGTTCCGAATAATATTTGAGAAGTTTCTGGGAAAGAGACACTTTGTGTTTCAGTGGGACTCCGTTCACACGGAGCAGAATGAAGCCATGTTGCTAAAACGAACCGGAACAGAGTGGGAACACATGCGTTCCTCTCAAGTCTGCCGTCAGAGTGTTCCAGAAACCTTGTTTATCTGGAATATCACGTTTGTCACGCAATCTAAGGTTTCTCGTCATCGTGTCGTACGCGAAGCGAAACGATGTGCCGTTTCAAATGCAGCTTAGGCTTAAATATTTTTAGACAATAATAACCAGCATTTCCCCAACTTTTTAAAGTTGTTTGAATATGTATTTGTTGTATTGTATATTTAAACAAATATTTCCGGTCTTATTGGTTTTGTTTTCACACTAAAGGATTCAGTGAGGCTGGTGGTGATGTTAAGGTCAAGCTAAACACCTGATAATTCTAACAACTGAATGAACGCTGACAACAACGACCAGCTGCTAGCAGTGTTGTATAAAGTACTGAAATCTCGGAGTCAAGTAAAAGTATAGGTACCGCTCCAAAATATGACTTTGGTAAAAGTAAAAGTCACTGGTTGAAATGTTACTTGAGTTAAAGTATTAAAGTATCTGAAATGTCTTGTACTTAAGTATGGAAATTACTGTAAAAATGGATGTACTCAAGTAATGTAATGAAAAGTACAAGTAAAAAGTAAAACAAGGCAAATGCAGTTTGAATGACATTTTTTATATTTTGGTAAACTTGTTAAATACACGTAAAATAATGTACACAACCAAGTGCAGGCAAAATGAAACCTGCTAATAGATAAACCTGCAGGCATCATTTAGTTAAGAAAATTAGGTGCTTTACCTACAAGGTTAACTTAACCTGCTTTAGGTTAACTTAACCTGCTTTACAACTGAACCAGATTCTTAGTAAACCCTCCAGGACAGAAAATGCAAAGTTTCTATAAGCCTCAAGTTTTCCCTTTCAGTAAGGTCAGTGCTGAAAATGAGAAAAATAAATAGTACAGAAAATGCAGCCAACATGAAGAAAAAAACTCATTACAATTACTCTACTTCACACACTAGGTGGACACAACTGGTCATTATGCAAAAGAAAAAAAGAATTGGGAGGGAAATGCAGCTTATTTGGCCTTTGAAGAGGGAGAGCTTTTTTGTTAACTTGGTGTTTAATGGGAGAAGCAAAACAGACCTCCATGAAGCTGACACCCCACCTACGTCAAAAAATCCAGCAAATACTCTGATTGGTTAGTGCTCTGTTTGTGCCGTTAAAATTTTGGTTTGTGCAGCTTTGGTTTTCGAGATATTAAAAATTATTTTTTAGGCCGTCCAAAATATATACTTTTTAAGATTACAATTACTGAAAATATTGAGTATGACTATTTCATACTCAATATTTTGTGTCATGAATTTTGTGTCAGTTGGTCACAAGGCAAGAAATCTATTTCCATTAGTTTCTCAGGAGAGTTTGGATGTAAAATTTGTTGACTCTCCCTGAGTGAAACTCCGAGCGCTTGAGGAAGGGGGAGACCTAGAGAACGGCTGGCCGAAATTAGCGTTCATGAATCAGATCAACCTCGAGCTAGACGCCGCTCACACAGGATATTGGAATAGCCAAAATCCAAATTGAAAACAACTTTGCTGCGTTTGTTTTAACGGCACAAACCTGCACAAACGGAGCATTAACAAACCAGCCCACTTTGGTTTGTTTTGGAGCAAAATGCGGGGATGGTGAACTCTGGATGGCCTAAAAAACTCGTTTTAATATTTCGGAAACCAAAGCTGCTCAATCGAACATTTTAATGGCGCAAACCTACACAAACGGAGCACTGACCAATCAGACTGTTTGCTGGACTTTTTGACGTAGGTGGGGAGGTGCGAAACCTGTGCATCCTATTGGTGGTGATGAACAAGCCCAGGCAAGTAGACTTTGTTGCAGTCGGTCAGTTGTTTGGTCAAAACATTTGCGTTTCTCTCTCGCTTTTTTGTAACGAGTAACTAAACCACTCATTGAAAATGTATCGGAGTAAAAGTATGCAATTAAGTTCGGAAATGTAGTGAAGTAATATATCAAAAATTTTTATACTCGAGGAAAGTATGAAGTACTCCAAAATATACTTAAGTAGTGAAGTATTTTTACTTCGTTACTATACAACACTGGCTGCTAGAGGCTTTCTCTGCTGTCCAACTAGCTACAGCTGAATAAAATAGTTTCTTGGAACCAGAATTCTAACCCTTCCAGTTGTGTACTGTTTTTCTGTTCCCAAAGATGCATCCAGGACCTTTTATAGAATAGCGAACTTGCCCACAATGTATTCTTTTTTATTTAATTCATGTTAACGTTTGTTTACACATTTCTAATATTTTTGTTTGCTGAGACTTGATCATTCGGTCTGAAGCTGTGTTGCTGCAAACACACTTAAATATTGGATCATCTTCTAAGTGTTAAATTATCATAGTCGATCAACCATTTAAGATTTTTGATTTTCTAAATTCACCTCGAGGACACAAATGGTGTTTAGGGTTACTCAGTCTGGCAAAAATTTTTACTCTACAGTTTATTATACTGAGTCTAAATTCTAACTATTCTTTTGTTTAGATTTCTAGGGTTGGATCAAAACTGATGGAGACACCAGGAGTTTGTGAGATTGAGCTGCCAAACAGAAGAATAGTGAGCGGCAGTGAATCCCCCACTGATCTGGATAGTCCATGTCAGGTACATGACATGTTTTCATTCTTATGCACTGGCTGTGCTCAAGTTTAATCTCCTAGATTTTTTTTTCACATTTTAAATTAGTATTTACAAACGGTTTTCAAAGATCACTGACTTCATTTTCTAAAGCTATATTTATCCCAAAAATGGAAAAATGCTCAGTTTTAGGTAAAAATGTAATTCATGATAGTGGGATTTGTCAGAAAGTACATTTTATAACTGATCAAGATTTTCAGTTTCCAGTTGGATGTTGTCAGCATGTCCTGTTGTTATGGGCTACTCATACTACAAGATCAGCTTTGTTTTAGGAAGAGGCTGAGTTGTTGGTTAGACAGGGGAGCTACTTACATCAAGGTATAGTTAAGACAGTGGCTTCCAAAATGTTTTCAATAGAGTAGGTGTGCCCATTCAGTCAATCTCCAGAAGGAGTTAAGTTGATCTGGTCTGTTGGGTCTTCAGGAGACAAACTGAATACCACCAGCTGAGACAAGCTTGTTTCTTTGGTTTTGACAGATCAAAAATATCCACTAAGATCCAAAAGGTTTAAACCTTTATTTAAAGGAAAAAACCTCAACAAAACATGTTCAAAGTATTGAATCAATAAAATAATAATAATCACAGTAATTATTACTTTATTATGGTGCTGTTTGGTTATCAAAAATCAAAGGTGACCCACAGATGAACTGACTGACAGATCACTACTAGTGTTGAAGTTAGCTAATCAACCACGGCTGCATTCAAGTGACAACTTATTAATAACAACAAATAACATCAAATCTGAAAAGTTAATATCTTAGGGGACTGATTATTCTGTTAACATTTGTCAGTCGTCCTACATAAGCCAGGTCCTAAATGATGGTGTTTGTGTTTATAGGAGGAGGTTGCAGGGTTTCATTTAGGTCTGTGCGGGCCTGAGGAAGAGAGAGGGGAAACCCCAGGCAGAGAGGACAGTCCCAGTGAACTGGGAGAGCCAGAGCTGGATCTTGGAGGAGACTCCAAGGCTGGAGACGATAAGGCTTTTGGTAGGAAAGCTGCTTGCACATCTTCTTTTCTTTTACCAGTGTCCTCTCAACAATGTCAACAATGCTGAGTTTTAAAAATGTTTTGGAGTTTTTTTTTTTAAGTTAAAATATGCTTTTTTTTTTTTTGAAGCTTTTATTTATAGATTTTAACAGAAGAACAAGAAACATACATATGTACACTTACAAAAACCAAAAGTACAGAAGAAAAAGGAACATACATACATACAGTTACAAATACTTAGAACATAGACCTATACCAGACAAAAACCCCAAGAGCATATACACAGGGTAGACAATAAAAAAAAAAAAACGGGGGGGGGAGGGGAGGAAGGGGTTGCAGCAGACCCTCGATTGACCAACCGTAAACATCAATTTGTCTTACCATATGGCCTTATAGCCATCCATCTTTCCATCCATCAAGTTGGATGTCATTTTGGCACAGCCAAGTGTAAAAGACAGACCAGACCACCCAACATTTATCAAGCTTATTCTTAGTAAAGTAACTGATTTTCTCAAGTGCAAAGTAGAACGTCATTTGTGTGGTCCATTGTAAAATTCCACATAATGTCCTTTTCTTCCAAGAGAGTGCAATGCAACGTTTAGCTTCCAAAAAGGAGACATTAAGTAAGGATCTCAAGTTGTTTGGGAGAACAAAATCCTCAGGATAAATATTCAAGATGCACATTTTAGGATCCAAAGGAACCTTTTTACCAATCATCTGACTTATCACAATCAATACCTCTTTCCAAAATGCTAACACTCGAGGACACGCCCACATACAATGAAATAAAGAACCTTTTTGGGAAGTACATTTAATGCAAGTATCAGAAATATTAGGATTAAAATTATGCAATTTAGCTGGAGCGATGTATTGCCTAGTCAGCCATTTGTGTTGTAAAAATTTGGAATTTATGTTAGCAGATTGTGTGTGAATCGAAGTGCAAGCTAATGACCATTCCTCACTCGATAAGTTCTCTCCCAAGTTCTCTCCCAAGTTCTCTCCCTTGTTTAGACGCTACATATGGAGTTGAAATTGGGGGATTGAGACGTTCTTTTTCTGATAGGTACAGTATTTCAGATTTAGCATCATTTACCTTATATCCTGAAAAAATTCCAAAAGACTTAATTAAATCATTTATTGCGGGCACAGTGTTACCCAGCTTAGAGCAAAACAGGATTATATCGTTTGCATACAAAGCCACACGGTGTTCTAAGCTCCCTAATCTCATACCGGTTATTTTATCATGTTTGCGAATTGCCATTGCTAAAGGTTCGATGGCCAATGTGAACAACAGGGGATAAAGGGGGCAGCCCTGCCTTGTTCCACGTTTCAATTTAAAGGGAGATGAAGTAAGACCATTGGTTAAAATTTCAGCTTGTGGGTTAGAATAAATAAGTTTTACCCAGCTAAGAAATTTCGCTCCTATGCCAAAGTGTTCCATAACATTAAACATATATTGCCATTCTATCCTGTCAAAGGCCTTCTCTGCATCCAGCGACAGGATGGCAGTGTCTGGAACTTCAGATTTCTCAAAAATTACATTAAACACTCTTCTGATGTTGTGAAAACCCTGTCTTCCTTGTACAAAACCATTTTGATCGGGGTGAATCAACATGGGTAAAAGTGGCTCCAACTTCCTTGCTAACACTTAACACAAAATTTTTACATCATTATTAATAAGAGATATTGGCCTATATGAGCTACATTGAGTTGCAGGTTTACCTGACTTCAGGAGTAGGGAGATGGTTGCTGTATTAAGTAAGGGAGGAAGAGATCCTTTACTAAAGGATTCCAGATACATGTCAAGCATAGGAGGTATCAGCTTGGATTGAAAAATTTTACATATTTCAATTGGGATTCCATCAGGCCCTGGGCTTTTACCCCCTTTCAAACCAGATATAGCCTCAGATAATAATTGTGCATTGAGCTCAAAATCAAGTGAGTTTAAGGATTCACTATCTAGGGGAGTAAATTCTAAAGAATCCAAGAAAACAGTTTGTGCATGGGGAGCTAGGTCTGAGTAGTCTGAGCTATACAAATTGTAGTAAAATTTTGAAAACGTGATGTTTATTTCTTTTGGGTCAGAAGTAAACGCTCCTTCAGTTGTTTGAATTGAGTTTATTGCTTTATCTGTTTGTTCCTGTTTGATACGCCAAGCCAACAATTTACTAGCCTTCTCACCTTGTTCAAAATATGATTGTTTCAGTCTCATTAAACTTTTAATTGCTTTATTTGTAGACAGCATGTTGTATTTAGCTCTTAACCTAAGAAGTTCTGTGTTTAATTGGGTTGAAGGATTATGAAACTGTTGTATTTCTGTGCTTTTAATAGATCTATCTAGTTGTTCCAATTCTTGTTTGTTAGTTTTATGCTTGAAGCTGGTAAAACTGATAATTTGGCCTCTTAAGAATGCCTTAAAGGCCTCCCATCTCACCGTAGCCGAGGTTTGGTGAGTGTTCAATTCAAAATACATATCTATTTTTGTTCCAATAAATTGTATGAAATCTGGGTCCCTAAGCCAAAATGATTGTAGAAGCCACTTAGATGAAAAGGAAAGGTTAGGAACCCTAAGACAGAATGACACCGGAGCGTGATCAGATATTACTATGCTGTCATGCCAACTATTAGTAATGTGCGGAACTAGATCAGCTGAGACTAAATAGTAATCGATTCTTCAAAATGTTTGGCAAGTACCAGAATAACATGAGAAAGAAAACTGATTAGGATGCATATTTCTCCAAATGTCAACCAAATTAAGTTCTTTAATGAAGTTAAGTAATTCTTTCCTTGTTTGAGCATGAGAAACATCTTTGCCTGTAGATCTATCTAACGTTGGAATGAGCGTACAGTTAAAGTCACCTCCTATGATGTACTCTCTGGGAGCGATGCTACAGATAGAAACAGGTGTCTAAAAAAAGCAGGGTTATCATTGTTTGCCCCGTAAATATTGACCAAATTCAGTTTCACAGACAGAATCGCACACTGTACAATTAGATATCTGCCATATCGATCCTCAGTTACATTGATGAGCTGGAATTGCACCGAACTGTGGATTAGTGTGATTACGCCCCTCGAGTGTGAGCTATAGGAAGTAGAAAAAACCCGACCATGCCATCTTCTCCTCACTCTACTAACATCATCAGGGGTCAAATGAGTCTCCTGGAGGAAAACTATCTTAGCCTTTAATTGTTGAATCCTTTTCATCACCTGTCGCAGTTTGACAAGTTTATTCAGACCTCTTACATTCCAAGAGGTGAATTGAAGGTCAGAGGCCATCAGAAAAAAGAAAAAGTTATTTCAGCCATGGCATGTGTATTAAAGAGTGAGCTGCAGAGGGACAAAATGACAAATAAAGACAAGACAGTACAGACACAACAAACAACAATTAAACAATAGAGTGTAAATCCCCAAACGAAGTACACCCACCCAACCCACTGAGAACACTTCCCAAGGAGCCATCCAGGCTCGGCCATGAAGCCCTGCCGGTCCACCCCAGCACTCATGGCGAAGAGGAACAGCATATAGAAAAACCCCATCAAACCGCAGCCCCCAGAAAAACAGTAATGAACTTAACAACCAATAACCTATAATGAAAATAAACACGCATTTGCATGTCTTAACCTTAGTTGCCCTTAGTTGCCCTAAATATTGTAAATTGACCATGTGTATTAAACACAAAATAAAGCTGCATTACTAACCATTATGAACCATCAAGTCAAAGAATTGAAAAGATACGAATATGGAAGTGCACTTACAGATATATGACCATATTTGCATACATAATGAGATATGATTAGACAACGTCACATAATTGTTCACCCTTCTTGGACTTGGACTTCTACCTGGTTTGTAACCAGATTGCGCTCCCGCTGGAGCTGCAGGACGAAGGACTCCGCATCTGCTACCTTGTCAAAAGCGTGACGTTTCTTCTTGTAGGTCACCAAAAGTGTGGCCGGATGAGCAACACCGTAGCGCAGCTCCGGTAACTCCAGAGAAATAGAAGATAGATCCCTTTTCACCTGGTCAAATATCTTGCGCTTTTTCAGAAGCTCGGCAGAAACGTCCGGGAAGAACATGATTCTGTTATTCTTCAAACGTATTTCTCCCTTCGTCCTGGCAGCCTTCATGATCCGGACTTTGTCAGCGTAGTTCAGCAGCTTCATGACCACCGCTCTGGACCGTGTCCCCGCAGCTTCAACTCGCCCGACTCTGTGTGCTCTCTCTATGATCAGCGGGATCGGGAACGTTTCTGCACCAAGCACCTCGGGCAGCCATTTCTCCAAAAATGCACACGTCAGAACCTTCAGTCCCCTCAGGAGACCGATAAGACGAATGTTGGAACGGCGACTACAATTTTCCAGGTCGTCTATCTTTAGTTGCAGAGCTTCAATTGTAGTTTTCGTAGCAGTGTTATCAGCTTGCAGGGAAGCAATAGAATCCTCGCTAGCGCTGATTCTGTCCTCCGCTTGTGTAATACGCGCGGCAACAATTCTTATCTCCGATTGCACCCCCTGAATAGCAGTTAGCAGGCTATCAAATCTCTTCACAAAGTCATCTTTCATTAAGTTAATAGCCGCCACGAGGTCGCCAGAGCTACCTGCTTCCATGGCCGCCAGATCCTCACCATCTGTGACTATGGATTCGTTGTCGACAGGAGGCATATCCGAAGAGCCACTGCCAACCAGGGGAGAATCTTTCCCGTCGCTGAAGGCCATGCTAACATCAGCTAGCTTGCTACTCCTAGGCTGTTGCGCTGAGCTCAACATAGACGTTATTAAAGCCTTTTTGGAGGTTGGTTTTGAGTTCTTTGGTGCCATTTGGTCAGCGATAACTAGTACAGTTAACTAAAGAAACGAAAAGCAAGATAATACAGGTTGTTAATTTAGTTTTTTAGAAATAAATTGGAGAGGGCTCCACCGCACGTCTTCAGCACCGCAACATGACCGGAAGTGTCTCGGTTTGGTTATTTTTGATGGAACAAAATGTGAGCAAAGGATGAATGTTTGATCACACTCAGGACACTTGGCCTGTCTTTGTTTATATGTGATTTGTATGTGGTGTCATAATATTTTTTGGTGGTGGAGGTCAAAGATCAATCCAGTCCACATTAGTATTAGTAGAACAGCAAAAACCCCTCAATTCTGCTTCATGTTCTTGGTGCAATCAGCTATCAGACTGTTCAAGTCAGCCTGAACAGTCTGATAGCTCTTGGAGACATTGGCATCAGGAATGTTCGAGTTCAGCCATGTGTCCGTAAAACACAATAAGCTACATTCCCGGTACTCCCTCTGACTCCTGGCCAGTGCTGTTATTTCATCCATCTTGTTAGTCATCGATCTAATGTTGCCCATGGTAACGGAGGGGTGAAACAGGTTGTTGCTCCTCTTCTCCATAAGCCTTTGTTGTTTCTTGGTTGTTGCTCTCCTCAGCTGTTTGTTTCCTTCTTTGCAACCCCAATGTGTCCGTCTCCAGATCTGAACACCATGCCTTCCGACTTCAGCGCAATCAGCTGGTCCCTGAAAACAATGTGTAAACAATGTGGCCAAGTTGTACTTGGCAGAGTAAAAAACGTATCTCTGCAGCGAAAAAAAATAAATAAATTAGACTCTATTAGTCAACATTGTTAAAAATAAGCCTCTTGTAAAGTGCAAAAAGCAATTCATGTTGTAAATAAATAAATAGAAAACATGAAAAGGAGAGAGGAGTACCTGCAACAGCCTACATACTGTTCAGAGTGCACTCTGAACTCTAGTTAGTAATGGTTTGGTAAGCTACATTTAGGTCTGCCGATGTTTGAAGCAGTTGTTTTATGTAAAATTGACTAAGAATTATTTCTGTTTGATCTTTGGCTTCAAAACAGTTGAAATATATCAATAGTCACAGTTTAGTTCTTTTTTACTGGTTTCCTTCTAATATTCATTCTCTAATTTGTGCAAAATTGTCTTATGAGGCTTATGAGAAATAATTTGCCAATATGTCAAAAATCTAAAAGTAATGTGTTGAGTTGTACTGGAGCTTTTAGTGTTGTGATCTGTTTATTAAACAATTTTTAATGTGTTTCTTTGGCTGTCTTGTCATTTTCCCTTCAGGAAAGGAGGTTGTACTGCTGATGCAGGCGTTGAATTCTCTTACCACGCCTGAAGAGAAACTGGCAGCGCTGTGCAAAAAATATGCAGATCTGGTAGGAATGTTGGCTTCTTTCTTTTTACGTAGGGTTACATAAGACGCTAGACCACTAGACCGCCTCAACCCAGTAGAGTTTTTTTTTAATTTTTATAATCTGGCTATTTGTATACAACTTTTTTGACAATATTACATACACTTGAAAAGATTGGGGATTCAAGAAAATACAATGCCAGAATGCAATTGTATTTATATGTATCGCAAAATAATCAGCTGATTCGGGTTTTTATCTTTATTTAGGCCAGAAATTAATTTTTAATAATTTATTTGAGTCCATCAAAACCACGTTCTGTCCACAGTAGTGAGGAACAGAGGGTATAATTGAAAATCTCACTATCTGGTGTAAAAAACCCAACTGCACCGTTACTGGTGGAAAAGCACCTATAAGGTTGCGGAACACGTTTAGAAGGATCAGCCCTGTGTTGAGCCATGATCAGGGTTTCCCCCAGAAAACTTGCTAAGCCCTGTGGTCGGGGCACCAAGGTCCACCAGTAAGCCACTGTGTTGTTGTATTAAAGATGTTAAGTTTATACAGGTAAGCAGCCAGACTAAAGACGGCAGATGGCTGAGTAATTGATGCTTATAGTGTAAGTGTAGCTTTACGGACGAACCGCATCCCAGTCACAACAAATGGGACCGGTGTGCAGCTATGTACCGCACATCGTGGTGGTACATAGCTGCCGAATGAAGGTGTCAAATTGAACGAAGGTGTCAAATCCCGTCGCTAACATAAACACAAAGCAAGGAGAGAGTTCATCTATTAAATTGACTGAAGATGAATACATAAACTAAAATCTGGAGCCCAGACATTTTTATAAGCATATTTGTGAGCCTGCCTCTTTATTATTAACTTGAATATAATTTCAGATTATTGTATAACTTCAGGCTAAATTAAAAAGCGAGCTTTTATTGTTCCAGGTAAATTTTCTAAACTACAGAAAAGTAACTGTTACAAGTGGATTTTAACATTGGAAATGTTAAATTCGAGTCATGTTGATATCCAATAGTAACATTGGTATTATGCTGGATTTACCAATATTTTATTTTACCAATTTTTTCATTCGATTACTCATAATTGATAGATTACTCGATTACTAAAATATACGATTACAACAACCCTATGTTAAGTAAATATTAAATGTAAAACTATAGCTGGGTAATTATATGTTATGGGAAAAGGTCACCAATGAAACACTATTTAAATCCACAGCTAGTCTTAAAAACATCAAATAAAGAAGTACAATTAGAATGAATTTAAATTATTTGCAGTTCTGTTTAATCCAAATTAAGTCAGTGGCTCCGTAACGCCCCTCAGGGCTTTAGGGGCCCCATAAATGTTGATATTTAACATAAACCACAGATAAATTAATGTAACATTTGTTTAAGATTATCAGTGCTGCTAAATTTGATTTAATGGTTTCAGCATACATAAATTAGATTTTAAATTGTTAAACATTTAAATGTAAGATTTTAAGGAGTTAGCAATTTTACTTTGTAATTGTAATTTGTTCAAAGAACAACATTCATAGTTACATTGTTTTGTTGCTGTTAGAGCCATTTGTATGATGTTTTTTTTCATCATATAAAGTTAAGAAGACTGATATTTGTTCAGACCATTTTTATTGTGAAATTTAGTTATTTTGAAAGGCTTACTTACTGTGGGTCATATATTGTATTACAAAAATTATCGACAGATTGCTTACACACAACGGATTATCTAATACAGTTTCTGACCGTGTATTATTGGACAAAAGGGGAAAAAGGAATTGTAAAACTGTGGCTGTCATTTTTGTATTTGCATTTTTTTTAAAGCTAAATAATTTTTGTTAAATTCACGGTTTGCACGCTTCCTTTACTTCAAGTGTCCAAAGAATGACACGGGTATTGGATCTGTTGCCATAACAGTTGTCATAACTACAATCTGATGCTATGAGTTTAATCTTTGAGTTTGAGCTACGTTTGTTTACAAATACAAATTAGTAAACTGCAATTATAACTCATTGTTTTTAAGTTGGCTAATTCAACCTCAAATTTAGGTTTAGACAAATCACTGATCTCCTAAAATTAAGGAAATCAGGGCTGATTTATTGATGCATCCTTACAAGATTGTGTAGCTTTTATTTACCTTTTATTTTCATGTGTTTGTGGCTTTGTGGTTGGTTCAGCTGGAGGAGAGCCGCTGCATGCAGAAACAGCTGAAAGCCCTGCAGAAGAAGCAGTCTCAGATTGTCAAGGAGAAGATCCACCTGCAGGGAGAACACAGCAAAGCCATCCTGGCCCGTAGCAAGCTGGAGAGTCTCTGCAGAGAACTCCAGAGACATAACAAGACACTGAAGGTAATGGTTCTGTTCACAAGCATCAGGCTCCTGAAAGTCTGCAAAGCTTTGCATAGATTTCATTTCATTCTGCTCATTTTAATTTACGAAGCCCTTTATACAGCTAAGATGTTTTCTATTTTAAATTAATTTCTAACAGATCTGACCGTTGATCCTCAGTGATGCTAAGCAACATAAGAAAACAAAGAAACTGGGCCTCAAACAAATTTGTCTCTAAGACAACCACTGTCTTGCTGAAGCAAATCTACTCTGATACAATGTCAAGTAGTCAGTTCACAGTTTCTAAAACAAAGTGTTATATCTTCAGGTTAGGCCCATGAGAAGATGAATCTAAACATTTACATAACTGGGAGAGGTGCACTTACCTTTGTGAGCTACTGTAATAGTGTTGAAGCAGATCGTCTCTGTGTTCACTGACAGGAGGAGAACGGCCAGCGGTCCAGAGAGTATGAGGAGCAGCGGAAGGAGGCCATGCTGCACTTCCAGATGACTCTGGGTGACATTGAGGTGCAGATGGAGCAGCACAGCTCCCACAATGCCAAGCTGAGGCAGGAGAACATGGAACTGGCCGACAAGCTCAAGAAGCTCATAGAGCAGTATGAGCTCAGAGAGGAGGTCAGAACCAAATGTAGCAGTCATGTTGCAGCTTCACTCAGCACCATGGGCAACTTCGGGTTGCTGTGAGTCAGGTTCTAAAAGTGGTTTCTACGGTAACCGCTTCCCATCTTCTGATTTATACTTCCAGTCTTCTTCACATTTAATCTGCCAAGTCACACTTAACCTTCCTCCTGCCACCAGGTCAGTTCAAACTAGAAATTGACCAGCAGAAATTATTTTGACATCAGTCTAACAGATCTCTGATGTGTCCTGCCGTTTTTTTTTTGTTTGTTTAATTTTTTGGGGGTGAAGGGAGGAGTGTTTCTTGAAGCCATTATTGCTTTCCCCCCCTCTGTTTACACAATAAAACCAAGACAATAACAAATGTTATTCTGCAATTTAAAACTGTAGAAGGGTTTTAAGTTTTCCAGAGCATTGCATAGTAACAAGAAATTGTAAAGGAGAAAATAAATCAATGCATGGTTCTCAAAGGTGACAGTACATAAAAAAACTACACACAAATTCTTCAAAGAATTGCTGCAGTAAATAAAAATATTGCATTAAATAAATACTGAATATGGACAACAGAGAAAAAAATATTGGGAAGTAAAGATTGAGAAAAAATTAAATTAAAGAATAGTTATGATGCTACAAATTAAATAATAGTTATGGTATTTACATTAAAAATGATAAACAAATATTATTTTGTCACATTGTGTAATCAAAGAAGTTTGGAAAGTTATTTTTTTTGGTTGCAATATTTGCCACATTAATTATGTTATCAAGTCACTTATTTATTTTTATAGTTATTGGAAATTTGGGAGGATCAGCCCTTCATGCAGCTAAGCTTCACATCACACTTCATCTGTATATCTTCAGTTTAACTTTCACATGTCTGTGATTCTGTGCATGAGTGGGTGAATTACTCAATGTCCCCAGACAGGCCTAGCGCTGGATAAAGCAGGTCATTTACCATTTCTTGGTGAATCTGCCTTCCTGTTTCTGTTTGCCGCTTGTAAATGAGAAGTTGATATTAAGTACCATCAACTAGTATTTCCAAATGCATCTGCCGGTTTGATCTCTGCTACGTATATATTCTGAGCCAGTATAGTTGGCACCAATGACACTATCTGTTGGAGGAAACAAGGATTTGGGTAGTTTCCAACATCACTGGCATCAGCTTTGGCATTGAACTCGGAACTTTTAAAGATTGTCATAAGGGAAAAATCTGGGCAAAAAAAATTTAAATTGTGGCATGTGAACTAGGCTTTAGCGGTCACACCAACATGCAAAACCTCATCTGACAGTTCATCCCCCCCTTGACCACAGTAAAATTTCGAGTCTTCACTGGACCACTGATGTAAACTATGTGAATAGCTAACATCTTCCCTACTTGTAGTTATGGTCCACAGAAATATCATGAATAGTGAGCCACTATAATCCACTTTATTAGTGAATTCTCTCTATGGCTGTATAGAACATGTTGAATATTAGTTCACATTTATCCAACATTGACTGCGACATCTTTCATATGTGAGCAGAGAACCGTTGATGACTTTTGATAGGACAGATAATCTAAAGTCATAAACTGTAGCGCAACAGAAAATATCGTCAACCACTCTGATTATGATCCTTCCAAAAGGGCTGTGATCTGCAGCCTGTTCCAGTACTTGTAATTGGAGTGGAACCTGTCACTACAAGGGAGGTTTTCTAATTCATGGATTTAATTAATGAAAATGAAGACGTTTCTGTTCCTGTGCTCATCTTGCATGCTGACATTGTTTCCTTCTGCAGCACATTGACAAGGTTTTCAAACACAAGGAGCTGCAGCAGCAGCTAATGGATGCCAAGCTGCAAAGAATCACTGAGATGATGAAAGAAGTGGAGGAGAAGCAGCAGCGGGAGAGAGAGTTTGTAAGAGACTTTCTTCTTTTTAACTCTCTGTTTGATATGCATGTGCTCATCAGAAAACCTTGGCAGATTACTTATCAGAATATTGTGGCCAAAACGCACCATATCTGTTTTTGCATCCGATCCAACGGAGAATTGGGATGAAAGATGTAAGGAGTAAATATAGTACATTGAAGTCAACAGGGCATAGCTGACAGCTATTGATTCTTGTAACTCTGACCAAGTTGGATCTAGAGTTAATATGTGAACAACCTGGTGTCAGAGGTACACAACACATATATGGTATTTTTCACTCTCTAGTCACGCTCTAACTGGTCAATGTGTGGTTCAGTTCTACCTCAGGTAGTGAGCTTTTCCCTTATATGTTCCTTTTCATTGTGAGCGGGATGTGAGCAGCAGCAGTTGTGTTCAACTCTCTGCAGATGTTTGCAGCAACTCTCGGCAACGGAAAACTTAAAGGTTCTCTGTTGCGACGATGTGTTGAGCAGTGCTCCTTCATGATGCACAAAAATTCTGGTGTAGATTGGCTGATGTAATGAGAATACCCTGGGGGTGCAGTGAAATCAAAATTCAATTTAATGGTATTGCACTCGTTAGGGGTTAGTAAAGGTCAATCATTAATTTTTGGTGCAAATCGGATGATATATGTGTGATTTAGAGTCAACAGTATGTAAACAACGGGGATTAGAATTTTATTTGTTATTATAGCTAATTTATAACATGATATAGTAAATCACGAGCCAATCAATACACGCGGTCAAATGTCACTCAAATGGTTTTGGTGTCCCGATCGGTTCTGCTAATTTTACCTGTGAGGTAGGTATGAAAATCTGGGAACTGCCAGGCAAAGCCGTGGCAGATCTGGAAAATGAATCTGGCAAACGCGGTACGGACTGTACCTTTAAGCTAGAATGTCAGTGAGATGTGTTAGCATGTACACCTGCTTTGGGGGAAGATGTAAACAAGAGTCTTCTACACACAAAAAGAGTTGCATTCTTACCCTTTGTAGGACCCAAGAAGTACAGAAAGATTAAAGGAGGTAGCAGCTTTGCTAAATGAAGTGTTGAAGCCGAGTTCAGGGTTGAACACTTGTCTGTGTTGGTGTTTCAGCTGCTGAAGGATGCCACAGAGTCCAGGCGCAAATGTGAGCTGATGAAAGAGCAAGAATCTCAGCTGAAACAACAGGTGAGCTGGTCCAATCAGAATGGATGCTTCTGCATGGTTTTTATCTCCTCTGCCTTTCACTGTATAGCACAATGCAACACAATGTGCTGTAATAAAGTAAACATAGTTGTACACATGAGCTCTGGTATAATATTCTCTCCTCTCAGCTCTCCCTCTACATGGACAAGTTTGAAGAGTTTCAAAGTACTTTGGCTAAAAGTAATGAAGTCTTCACGACCTTCAGACAAGAAATGGAGAAGGTGAGCTTTGGATCTTTATCTCTTTGTGTGTTATAGGTTAGACAGCAGCCTCGGGTCTATGACTTCAACATCATTTAACCAGAGAAGAACACTCTGTCTCACAGCTGTGACCTCTCTGAAAAGTTCACAGCAAAATTGATACCCATCAAATCTCAGATGGAACCAGAAACTCAAGTTCAAAAGGTAAATCAGACTCAAATTAGACTTGTGTCCTTTAGACTTGATGCTTGACTTGGAAAGATCATGATGTCTTCCTAGAGAGCTCCCATCTCTGCCTGGAGATTCCTGCTCAGAGTTGCAGCTTCAGAATGATTCATGCACTTAGAGCCACACTGAGCACCAAGTCAACATACATTTTGATCTTACTGAGAAGGTGTGAAGGAGAAGGAATTCACGGAGATCAGAAAAACTCATTCTACAAATCTCGGGCACCCAAAACAGTTTCTGTGGCGCGCATTAAACACTCAATAGAAATTAAATGGAAGAGCTGCTAAAGCCACGTAAATGAAATCTCCTCGTTTGTCACTTTGTATCCAGAACAGATGTGCAGTGCAGTGGATTTAGCTCATCATCCAGGGCCAGTCCAAGGTTGCATGAGGCCTTGAGCAGAATTTGATTTAGGGGTCCCTCTTGCTGCTAATAACATCTGCTCCACCAAGAGTATTTCACCATGAACTTAGGGAAATCTGGAAGAGATTTAATTGGCCAACTTTAAAAGTCATCACTTAGAATTTTAATTTACAAAGAAGTATTTGTGAACAAACAGAGCTCAAAAGATTAAATTCATAGCAGCATCAGATTTTAGCTGTGGTAATGAAACAATATAACTATGAAGATTGTTCTTCGAACAAGTTTATTTTGAACTCAAAATAAACTTGTTAGCTCCTTAAAATATTAAATGTATAAATAATTGGCATTATAATTGTATTTGATGATTTGTTGGTTTTATGACTCCATAGCTGCGGGTTTAAGTACTGTCGGCAATATCTTCCAGTAACATAATTATCCAGTGATATTGTTAGTAGAGGTGTGACGATCGATCGGCCACCGTTCATAATCGGCCATTTTCCGTGAAAAGTGTATGATCGATGATCACTGATCACTGACTCTTGTTGCCTATCACATATATCTCACTTTGCAGCCTGCATGTGCAGCTTATCGCCTCTTTTACAATACACAAGTGTATGGTAACAAATCCTTTCGTGTGGAACAAGTTTGTGTGTTTTGCGGCGAAGAATTACCTCGGGGTGAAGCACGTCAAAATGCATCAACACAACGAGTCTAATATGGCATTTAATAAACAAGCACTTGATGGGAGTGTGGCTATCTCGAGGCTCAGGAAAAAAAGACATCCGGAGCGGCCAGATAGCAGGTAAAGCGGCGCACAACTACCAACACCCACCCAAATTAGCATCAGGGTCAGAAAGCTAAGCTAAACAAATAACTTGAAAATTAAGTCAAGTCTTCGAGCTGGTAGTGTAAGATGCTGGTTCTGTTCTCGCTCTTGGACCGCTGCTACTAATAGTAATATTTCACAGTCGTAGCGCCTCTCAACCTCCACCAGTCAGTGAACTCTCACACCGAATGTCTGCTTAAAGCTGCAGGATGTAACTGAAAAGATTTGATATGTATTGAAATATGTCTATGATGTCAAAATTAGGTGAACTAATTATTCAATTCAATTTTTCCAGATAACGTAGTATCATTTATACCTAAAGTGAAAAAATTAACAGCAATTCAAGGCGATTATCAAAGATCTGTGTTCAGCAGCAAAAAACCTGATCAGAGCATTCCTAAGTTTTACATTTTCTGTGAACATAACATTTTTTAATACAAAAACACGACGGGCTGTTGGTGAATCGCCTCAGCGCCCCGACCACTTAGCAAGTTTTTTCCTTGCAAAGCAACTTCCTGAGTCTTTCTGAAAGAAATCAACCTAGTTTTGGCTGTTTCATTAATCAATTGATAGAAATTAGCCAATCATTGCATCTACACCGTGTTCCAAATTATTGTGCAAGTGATATTTTCTCAGATTTTCTTAAATGGTCAATGCAAATGATGGCCAGAATAATTTTCAAGAGGTGGCCGATTAGTAGGTTCATGAACCGCAACCCTCTGGAGGATCCTCCACCTTGAGGTTCCAGAGGCACCAGAAGCTTCAAATAACTGTTTGCTTGCAGATCCGGTGCCCATCAAAGGACACGATGTACCCCGTCTTAGAAGACGAGCGTGAACGGACGGTACCGCTAGAAAACATCTTTGCTCTTAAGACAGTGCTATCTTACGCTCAAGAAAAAGAGGGAGCCGTTTATTCTGTCTGACTGTTATTTATACAGATCAAGGAGGGACCTACCCAGTAGGTGGGTGTGGACTAAGCTTTTTTCAGTGTTGCGCTGAGCGCAGGGGATAAACCTACGAGCCTTAAAGAGCGAAGCGTTTATGGAATAGAACGTTAATAAGTAAGTCACATGACTAATATTAATATTTCAGGTTTCCTCCTATGTTAAGATGTGTTATTGGGATTTTAGGTAGGTGGTCCCTGAATGTTTCAGTTACATGGTCCTCACCCTGAAAAAGTTTGAGAAACACTGGGCGTTTGTGAATAACTTTTGTGTTGCTGAGGGAATATTCAGAGAATAATCTTGTTAGAACTTTAGAAATTTGAACAATTTTTCTGTATTGGGAGTTACTTTTAGTCTGAGGAAGCTTCAAGACAGAGTTAGAGGAAACTTGCCAAGTTTTATTTTGTCAGAGGAACTTGGTTATCAGCCCGTAGCTTTGATAAGATTATGGGATGTATCTCACAACAGTCTAGTCATTGAAGGAGTTTGAATCCCTTCAGAGAAATATAAACCTACCGCCAACATTTCCTCTAACCTAGAAGCAACATTTCAAGGAAACTTCTGGCTAAAAATATCAAAATATTCCATTCATAGCAATTTCACACTAATTTCATTCTGAATAAATATTTATAGTACAGTGAGACATAAGTTCTAAGTACTTAATTCCACACCAATCACCACATGATTGGTATGGATTTACTTCCAGATGACAAAGAAGATCAAGAAGCTGGAAAAGGAGACGACGCAGTGGAGGACCAAGTGGGAGAGCAACAACCAGGCGCTGCTGCAGATGGCCGAGGAGGTGAGACCCTTACCCACAAACTCTTTAAACTACGGCTGACATCATTAACACGACATTAATTTTATCATTTTAACGCGCTAAGATTACATGATACAGATTACTGAAGTAATCTCCTATGGAGGGTAGTTTATACCTTTCTTGCATCGCTGGGCTGCAAGAAAAATAAGCGAGGCTACGACGCAAAGTTGCAGAAAAGTCAGATGTGTGTACACATCTTCATGTAGAAGTTCAAAATTTCAGATGCATAAATTATGCTGGTTACTTGGCTGAATGAAGACAAGTGACTGTGGCGTCATCGCACAAGCTCCACAAGAAATGAATGGAGAAGGGGATTTCTAAATGTAAAACGTTTAAAATAAAATGAATTCCTTTAAACGTTCCTGAATATAAAAACCTGGATAACTGGGAATTTTTGGACATGTTTGGTTTGAGACAATAAACCTTTTCTTAAACACTTTTTGAAAATGTGCATACAGATTGGTGTTTGATCTGGGCAATATGGGCAGTTTCCCTGGGCAGCATCAGAAAGAGGTGGGGCACCCATGAACTAGAAAATAAAATCTCTTATCTGTCAGTTGTCCCCTGGACAGGTTTGCTGCTACTTGTATGAATTTGCAATGGAGTTGGTTTCTCTTAGTTGCTGTTGAGTAATAGGAGACCACATTACCTGCTGTCTGCTACAAAAAACCCAGATAATTGCTTGTATTTGAATTGGTTGGACCATTGCAGAAGGAGGGGCTCTACCCAAAATATAATTTCTTTGAGAAAAAACAACTGTGCATATTTATAGTTATATATGTTATAGGATTTTTTTTAAAATCTATTGATAGTACTAAGCTACACAGTCGCTGAGTCTGGAACACTCCTCTGTTGTAGAAAACGCTGCGTGATGGGCACTTCAAGGCTCTGCAAGGGAAGCTGGAGCTGCTGGAGCGCCTCTGCAGAGCTCTGCAGAAGGAGAGGAATGACCTGAGCAACCAGTTGAGCCTCCTTCAGGAGCAGAGGGACCAGGGGCCAATGCCACCTGGCGCAGACCAGCACGAGGCCTTGGCCATGGAGGACGAGGAAGACGAAGAGGAGGATTCTGAAGATTTGGCGCATGATGAAGAGCTGGAGGTGGGTGAGGAGTCCCCGCAGCATGCTGCTGATAAAACCACTACTGCTGCAGCAACCACATCGACCAGGCTGCTTGACTGAAGCTGCTTTGAGGCAGTCTAAAACATTACCATTACTAAAGATTTACCCTTTCACAATTGTAAACTATATCTTTTTGATCTTTCTGTGTTTTTACACTTTGCTCAATAAAATTATTGTATGAAGAATTTCCACATTTCTAAGGCACTGTGCAGTGAGCTGTGAGCAAAGCCCTTTCCTCCACCAGTCAGACTGAGTTGGGCCTGGAGCATATCACTCTAGCAGACTGCAGTACAGGGGATGGGGGATGACTGCCTTTCTGTCTAATATCGACATATTTTCCTCAAAGCTTCTGCTCCCTGAAAATTTGACTTGCAGATAATAAGGGTCACTAGATGTTTGAAGAGCATGAAATAGTTTAGCTATTTTTCTAAGTCACATTCTCATTTGTATTTTTCAAGGAAAATTCTTTTAAAGTCCATTATATGGAGTTCTAACAGGTGTTTAGGGTTTCTTTTGGTTCCAACCAGTCAGTTGTAGTTCCCAGTGAAGGTATGAATGTCTCATGATGTGGTCTGTCTGCTTTAGTCTTCCTGGTTTTAACCTGGTCATCTGCTCTCTGCTGCCCCAAGTGGATCATTTAGGAACCATCTTCAGTGAAACTCAGGGTCATCCTATGCTAAGCTTTTCTCTCGGCTCGATAGTTAGTATTACTCATTGTGACTATCTCTATCTGTCTGTCTTCTTCAAGCTTGGCCTTTAAAGCACTTCCACAAAGCCTGAATAGCAGCACTGCTGTCATTCAGGGAGATATTTCCACATTTTACGAATGTGACCAAAGTGAGATGATGTGAAGGGTTTGTCTCCCACCTGATGAGATTCTTTAGAGCGCAGAGAGGCCAGTTTTAATAGGCCATTGATGTGAATTATGTTTCAAACGTTGACATCCAACCATGTCATATTTCATCTTGGAAAAGAAGATGGGATTTGCTTTTCTGGAGTTTGAATACAGCTGCTCTGTTAGGAACAATTAAGGGCTCTGATGGGGGTGTGGCCTCTGCAGTTAGTCTACACCTTGAGTGAATGTAGGAAGTAGCAGCAGGTGCCAGCCTGACTGCTGTCATCGGAGAGGATTGTACTACTGACCCTTCTGGGTTCTCTTCACTTGAAAAGTAGATTTATCACTTCATCTCATTATTTGCACATCTTATGGTAATCATTGTTCCTTTCCATAAGCTTCAGTAGCGAGAAAGCAGCTGTTACCATGCAATGTGCCCTGTCCTGTTTTACTGTAGCACTTACTTCACATGTAGTCCTCGAGCTCCAGGCTGACCCCAGATCTGCCTGGCTTCTATTTTGGCATAACAAAGTAATGGGACGGATACGGATGTAGTCCAGGTGACATAATTAAGATTGTAAGTGTTGCATAGCAGTGAATGTGTAAGATGGCAGTCTGTGCACTTTGACCTTTGCCCACCTTTCTAAGCGTCTCTTCATGCTCATTTGAAATCAGAGGAAACTGAATGCTGATCATCAGGCGGTGAGGGTTTCCACCCCTGGCTGAGCTGCAGACAACTTGACCTTGGCATTGCCCCAGAATGACTCGGGTCATGTCAGAATCTACCTCTGTGGGCGGGGCCATGAGTCAGCAAACTGGCTGCTTTTATTTTTACCACCTTGTAAATGTAAAATGTTCTAAGACTGTCATGCTTTTAAATAAACATTTTGTAGGATTTTCAATGTCTGGATTAATTTTTCCTAGCCACTTCACACAAATCTCAAAACATCTGCTTTTCAAAAGCAACATTTACAAAAGTTTTATTGCAGTTTGGAGCCAGAAACATCACTGATAATGTAACACATTATGTAATGATGAATAATCCCAAACCGCCAAGTATTTTGTACCTTAGAAAGTAGCAAGATCACAGTTGGCAATGTACATCTGCATAGTGGTGATAGAAAACCACCAACAAGAGCTGCAAACATTCATCCTAATATTGTGGCATTAATTATGTTTCCCTGTGAGCTTAGTGGGTCTGAAAAAATAACTTTATGAACAATATTTTCTAATGCCCTTTACCACAAAATGCTTTTCATAATACTGAAGAGAAAACACTTGAAGGGGAACAGTATTACCAATCTGTGCTTCTGTTCAGAGCCCTGGCCCCTGTTAGGGGCCAGTGGAATGACACCAAATTCAAGTGTGAACTGGAGAGGGCGCAGGCTGCTCTGACATTTCACAAACATTTGAATCAGGAGAAAGCCAAGGTCCACAGGGTGGCGGAGGAGTTGTTCTGGACAGAGAGTGTTCATCATCCTTGTGCCTCCAGCTCTGATGCAGGTGTGTTGTCTGGCTCCTCATCATTGTAGATATTTTCTGCCTGGAAGACAAAGGAAGCACAAAATGTCCCTTCAGACTGATGTAACATCTCCATCTTCATGTCTGTCCAGCCAGAAAGTGACTAAACCTTGGGATCTAGTTTCTAATCAGATCTAGAGACTTTGTATAAGAACCGTTCTCACCATCTGCCAGACTTGCATGATGTTGTCTTCAGACACAGAGCAGATGACCCAGGGTTCATTGGGATTCCAGGAGAAGTCTGAAATCTTGGCTGTGTGGCCACCATGGATGAACTGAAGTGGCAGAAAGAGGGTAAACTCAAAGACATGAGCAGGTTGAAAACAAACCACTAAAAGGTTCAATCTGAACAACCAGCAGACAGGGCAGACTGGTTTTATGTCACTGTCCACCACTGAGACTTCTGTTAACCTACCAGAAGCTCTGGTGGGCCGTCCTCAGCGTCCTCTGAAGACTGCTCCTCCCCAATTTTACTGAAAACAGAATGCATCATTATCACCCTGCACAGCAGCTCCACTTGTGAACATGTGAGCAGAAAGGTTAATCACTGAACACTAAGATTCTACCTGAGATCCCAGACGTTGAGACGTCGGTCAGTACCGCTGGAGGCCAGGATGGTTTCATTGTGAGGTGACCACTGGACCTAATGCACAGGACAGATAATCCCTAGTAAGATAAAACTGGATTCAGAGTCTAACAACCTTCCCTGACTTGTTTCCATGCAGCCTGAAAACAGCTGTCTGCATGAAGATGCCATAAAAATAACTGTTCTCACACAGAATATGCAAGTCTGGTGTCTGAAACCTGTTAGCTGCGTCACATGAATCGTCTCAGCTTTGCAACTTTAGCCACTGAACTTCTGAAGGATTTAAACTCCCAAGAGATATAGAGAAATGTCCGTTTGAAACAGGAAGTGAGGAGGTCATTGGATCTTTCCCAATCACACTGCTAACTGATATGACCGTTTTAGATGACTGGTTTATTTCTAGTCAGCATATTACTATTACTGTTTATAATGCATTATAAGTTGGATATGAGGACACAACAAGTTCTTGACAAAATAACTACAATTCTTACTTGGAAAATTTCATCCTTGTGGGACTCAAAAGAGTGGAGCTTCAGTTTAAGATTCCTTAGATCCCACAATGCAACAGTCTGGGAGGACCAAACAGAAAAAGATATCTGTCTTTAATCAGTTGGGAGTAACAGTTAAACTTGCATTTGCACATGTTAGCATGGTTTTCACCTTATCTGCAGAACCTGTAGCAAGAATGAACTCGCTGTAGGGATTGAAGCTCAAACAGTTGACCTCAGCAGTGTGAGCATCAACCGAGTGGCTGGCTTTAGAAGTGTTGTTGGAACGAGTGTCCCATCTGAAGCAGCACAAACCCCAAAGAAAGCAACAGGAACATGTCAGTTATTAGAAACACAACATGGAGGAATGATGTTTTTTGGAAGGTTTCTGACATCATTAGTTTCTGATCATCAGCAACAGAGCCAAACAAGGATTCATGGAGTAAATGCCACGACACGTCTTCCACAACTGCCGTGTGACCAGTGAAGATGGTCTTAGCGTCGACAATCTTTCCTTCCTTTGGGCCGGTGCCGATGTCCCACAGACAGATGGTCTGAAGAAAAAATTAAAAACAGCACAAATTATTCTAGAAATTGTTCAGTTCTCCGGATCTCTTATTGGAAGGAAGGTTCTGATTTCTGATCAAACCTCCCATGTCCAACTGGACATAACCCAAATCCCCTAACCCAACATGATCATATCCATTTTATGAATGTCGATGTAAGCAAATACTATAGATTTTAAATAGATTTTAGGAAAGGAGAGAGCAGAGCACTATTAGTGTTCCTTCAGCAACTTACATGGTCATCAGAGGCACTGAGCAGGTTGCCACTGAGGTTTGGATTCCAGGAAAGGCCGTAACCTTCTTTCTGGTGACCTTTGAGCCTCAGGTCAGGACTGCACTCCCCACTGGGATCTGAAATAATAATATTCATAGTTTATGATCACTTAATTGGCTAAATGCCTATTAACTATAGGCAAAAGTTCCATCTTGACTCACCTGGCTTTGATGGATGCTTGGTGTAGTCAAAGACCAGAACGTCAGATGTGGGAGTTTTGGTGGCAATAACGCAGGGATTCTGGGGCATGTAGCGTGCTCTGTTCACCTCTCCTTCATGGTTAATCTTGATTTCAATCTCTATTTTTCCACTCACTGAGCCAAACCCGCCAAACTCTGACAACACACAGAGCCGACATAGAAAGCACTAGAATCTGACAAAACAGCTGCATATAAAACATCACCTGTGGCCAGTTACAGTGTGATAGATGAACAACAGCACTGCTTGGTTCTGGTAGTAGAAACATAATGCTCCATCCCTGGCTGCAGCCAGTAGCATCACTGGATATTTGCTTCTCATCACACATACTGTACCTGTCATTTACTTAGAGGCCATGAACACACCACACTTACACACAGCAGAACCTCCAACAACATACCTGCTGGAAGATAAAAAAATACAAAAACTAAGTTTCAACATGCGAAGTGAATATGATTTGTGTATGTGGTTTAGAATGGCTTTCATAATGCTAAATCTATGTGTATAATATCTACACAGACAGATAAAATTGTTGGTATCTCTGTTAATGACCAAAAAGGACATAATGGTTACAGAAATAACTTGAAATGAAAATTAACCATTGAAAATCAGATCAAATGTATTGAGGTTTGTGATTAGAATGTCACAAAATGTAGTAAAGTTTGAAGTGTTATGAATACTTTGGCCATGGCCACAGTTAGTAATTTTAGTCACTAACATTTTGATTTTATTCATAGAAAATAGTTTAGTTGCTATGAAACTGTGAGATGATCTGTGTACTAACCTCCTTTTTCACTATCGTAGTGTGATGCATCAAACTGGGCATCATCATTTGGTACCTGGACACTGGCTATTACAAGATGGTTTTGCTCATCTGATGTGTGGGTCCCCAGAACCAGCCGGTGGACTGTGTAGTCCTTCCCCTCTGGCCTAAGCATGCATTTTTGACGAAGAAAAGATAAGGAGAATCAATGCCGGTTTTAAACATCCCAGAAAAAGCGCTTGCAAAAGAAAAACGGCATTTTATAAAGACGTTAGACATGAGCATAAAGTACAGACTTTGATTCTTCAGAACCATTCTTTCTAAGACCTGAGATGAACCTCACACACAGACACTGTTCAGATGAAGGCCCAGTAGAGACTAGAGTTCCTGTAGTAACGTCATCATTCACAACTTCTCCTTCTGCTTGCTGATGAGCCCATTTCAAATTCTACCAGAGATGACCAAGAACAGGGCAGAAAGTCCAGACTCTGCTTTTTCCAGCAGAATTGTGGAAGAAGGCAGTGGGCTGGGCAGCAGGGAAACTACATCAATGGGAGAAAGGCATAGGGTTTCTCCTTCAAAACTCTGGATTCAGGTCTCCCTTCTTGCTGTTGTAGTTGTAAGATCAAAGATAAAATGTCATTACCAGTCAGTCTCCAGGAGGACAAATTTGTGCTTACCAAAATTGAGAGCAGATGCATCATTACCAGACACGCATGCAAACTGGTTCATTTTTCCAGATCTGCAGTCCATCAGGCATTTCCATTTCACTATTACTGAGACTTTATTATGCTGTATAACAGAAACAATTGTAATTACCTGTTGACATCTGGAAGCCACTGCACAGTCAGACTGGGCCACTCCAGGGCATGGGTCATGACCAGGTCGTACAGAAATGGAGTGTTTCTCTTCCAGATCTTGTATTCTTCATTGATGACCCTTTCTTCCACTGCATCATCGTACACTGAAGCAGGGCAGCAAGGGATAAGTTATTAACACAAGTAATCAGCGATATTTGTCTTACCTTTTCATCCTTAATTCATATTTTCTCACAAAGTTAGTTCATCATGATCAGAAGCTTTTATTTCTATGGTTAATAATATCAACTGACTTGAATTGAGATGTCTTCATCACTGGGACTCTTTCTACTCAAGTATCTTGCACACCATCACTTTGCACTTTATTAAAATCACCTTAACTAGCATTTTATTCAGCACTGCACTTTAATTGTTGCTTTACATATCAATAACCATTTGCACACAAGAATTTGTAACTATTTATTGAGTATTTTAAGAAGTAGCTTTTGTTCCAGGCTGTGCAGAGCCAACTACCCCACTACAATTAGAAGTTGGGGGCAACTGGCCATAAAGAGGAAAGAATTGGTCCTCAGAGCAAATAATGTCCACTGTTAATTGAAACTTAGGCAGAGGTTTGTGTAGAGCAGGGATGGGCAACTCCAGGCCTGGTCTCCTCCAACATTTAGATGTGTTTCTACTTCAACACACC